ATTCGCAAAGAAAGCAGTGTTTACCTGAACTCCACTATCAGCCAAGGCTTTAACTTGCTTTTCAACTTCCCACTCCTCTCCTTTGGCAAATCCCATCAACTCATCAGCATTTTCAATAAGCACAGTACCCTGAAAACCACCAAATTTATGGAGTAAACGAACTGCAGATGGGCTACCGTTGTTTCAGTTTGAGTCAGATCAAATGGACAGGTATAAACTGCAATACGCGCATTCTTTGCTTGTTTGATCTCACCTTCCGCTCCACGTTTGAACACCATGCCGTTCATAACCTACAAAAAGGACCCTATACCGGTGCAATTAAACAAATATTATGACTTCAAGCAAACTGTATCAAGAACTTCCCAAATTATACAAAATGAAGAGAAACCGACCATGGATGCACTAACACCGGAACCAAGAATCTTGCAGATGCGAATATTATCAACATTGAAGTTGTAGCTATTTTTGGGCACAGTTTGCACTAAAAGTCAAAAAATCAACAATACCAAAAAAGCAGAATGAAGGACTCACCGCAAGCTTTGGCTACTAGTTCAGCAATAACGTCCTCGTTATCGTACTGCTTGGAGGTGATAGCCGACCGCAAGAACTTTTTGACCTATAAATACATTCCAAATTTATTGCAGTTCCTCACACTCGTAGGATATAGTTTACCATAGGAAGATCTCTTAGATCGGTAGCTTCCTTGATTACAAGAGTTTCAAGTGTCTCCAAAGCTTTCTCCGCGGCTTGCTCGTACCCAGAAGCAACCTCTTGTGGTGTAAGACCCTAGAGGCAGAATGTGAGATTTGATATAGCTACAAGCCGATAAATGCATTACCATGCTTATGAGCTGAGCTGCATGTTCGAGAAGAGCAGCGGCAAGTATGACAACTGTGTTAGTGTTATCTCCCACCTAAAACAAGTTCTGGGCATCATAAAATCAACAAAAAAGTCGCATTGAGTTTAGTATAGTGCATAAAGGGATCTGAGCTAGCAAAGGCATTGAAAATTCAGA